ACTAAGATAGTATATCTGTAAAAATGGGTTTGTTCTGTAAGCAAATTGGGCAATTACTTCCATACATAATTTCTTTGCGGTACGAGCTATAAATTCGCTTAGTTATAACATTTAATTTTATCCAGCAAATTATAATTCAACTAAATGAAACCAATCCGTTTTTCCTCTGTGACGGATCGTTCCGAGATTAATTTAATAACTGTAGTGTTACGCCGCAGTTTTCACAAACGGAGTTCATTTTGGTCGACGTGATTGTTTCTAAATGATGCGGGTTACACACACTCTCACTCTCTCTCTCTCTCTCTCTTTCTTCCTCTCTCTCTCTCCCCCTCTCTCTGTGCAAATACTCCCGACTCAACTCAATTATGCATCGTCTTATTATCCTCGGCAGTCTTGCGAATTACATAGCAAGATTAACTTCTTAGTTGGAAACTTCCGGTAACTCCGAAGGGTTTACGCTACCGTGCCCACGTTTGGCTCAAACTGCGTCAAGATTGCGAGCAACAAGCTGGAAGTTGAGATCTTCACGAGCTCGTGCCGCTTAGCCGCGGTCGCCCCCGTCCACGTGTCTGTCAAATAGTTCAGGTGTACATCCACAATCGCCTTAAGCTTGCAATCATCCAGTTCATCCACTCGATGCGCCAGCGTCGAGATTTTGCGACGATCGCGAATGAAAAAAAGAAAACTAACAAACGCCAAGCTCGGAAAATGTTTCCGAAAGTTAGCGTTCGCAAAGAAAATGAACTCTTTTACTTTTTTCACTACCCACAGAGACAACGTTCTAAAGTGAGAACTTCACGATGGTGTTTGCGAACTTTCTCCCTCTCCTCTTATTCGAAAAGCGTCCGCGCACGCGGAAAGATCATAAAGATCATCGGAAAAAAATAAACAGAGCAGGAAACGCGAGAGCGCGCGAAAGGAAACGCGCAAGCCAAATAAACGTGTACCTCTTTGAAGCTATGATGAGGATCTCCGGCGCGCGGTACCCACCGAGTGGCGACATAGTCCGTCAAGGTTGGATCGCTTCCAGTCTACACCGTCGCCCTCACCGATCTGCGTAACCGAACGTGCCAGCCCGAAGTCCGCGATTTTGCAGTGGCATTGTGCATTCAGGAGCACGTTGGACGGCTGCAATAACGAAGGATAGCGCGAACTCGACACAATATGCAGACACATGACGATACACGCTGTCATCGCCGACTCTTCCTCCCCCTCATCATCATCATCATCATCAACATCCTCCGCGATAGCGCGAAACATGATGTAATGAAAAGTTTGTGCAATCGTGAGATTGCGAATATGAGAATGATGAAAACGCGCAAACCGCTTCTCTCTTCGGTAAATGTAAAAGCGAGAGATACATGGTGGCGATGGTAGCGCATTGAAAAAATGTGAGCAAAGTTGAGATGAAAAACGCGAAACTTCTCCCGGAAGCGTCGCCTCTCCGCACTGAGGGAAACAGTTAATTTTCAATCTCGCCGAGAACTAGAATCATTCTCGGCGCTTTCGTGTTGTTCTAAACGGAAAAGTGACGGTAACAGTATGCGTATAAAGTTATTGTCAACACTGGAGTCAGTACGAGTCAGTACAAGGTAAAGCAGTGACCACTTCACGAAGCTAAATAAATAATTTTAATTTCTTAATTAAACAAATAATAAGTATCAATTAATTAATTAACTAATTAATTTCACCGAGTTATTTCGATTTTCCATAAAAACCTACTAATTGATGATAATTACCCGGTAATTTTTTAAACAATTCTTTCACCGTGACGTCGTAGTAAGAGAAATGCCGAGAACTTTTTTTCTCATCGCGGAGGAAACTCGGAAACTCGCAGAATAAGAGAAGCTTTTCAGCGGCTTCCCCTTAGCGGAAGATTCACTTTCAAGTCCCTGTGAATAACGTTGCCCGAGTGTATGTACTTGATCGCCTTAAAAAGTTGGTGCATGATGAAAATCTTGTGGATGTCCTTGAGGATATTGCCGCGCTTGATGACATTGTGTAGATCCGTTTCTGGGGAAACACGGGCCGAGAGGGGGCGTTCATTCAGGCCGACGGTGTGTGAGAACCGTGACGCGTCGATTTCTTCTTCGGCTTAAAACTCACCCATGTATACGAAAACCAGATAAATGTCCCGGTCGTTGTTCGCCCTGTGCAGCCCGATCAGCCGGATGATGTTCTCGTAATTGACGAACGACAGCAGGAACATGATCTCGCGTCCGTCTGATTTCGGAAAGCGTCGAAGATCTTCACCGCGACCGTGTCCTGTTTCTTCTTCTCGATCGCCTTCCATACTATGCCGTAGGCCTGCGCGGAAGATCAACGATTTTTTATCACCCTGTCATTACTATCGTCTTTAACGGATTGAGGAAAAATCAGGTGAGAGGGACCAAGTCTCGGGTTTATGCTAGTTTCGTGGCACGGACTGCAATCGCGTGAAACTGAGTAGAAATCGAGTCGGATCGGCGATCTGTTACGTGTAAATTGGGACTGGATATTCAGTTAAAAGCGAAATATTTCGCTTGGGCTGAAGGCCGTGACAAAATTGAAATGTAATTGCACGTGTGATATTGATGTTCTCTCCGCTGCTAAAAAGTCGAGTAGACAATTGTATAATACGAATAATTCTACCTCGGGTTGAAATATTCACGTAAAATGGACGAGAAATAATGTGTCAAATAATATGTACGACCGATAATGCGCTGGGTCAACTTTATAATCGCCTCGGTGAGCTAAATTTCGATTTGGTTTAATTAAACCGAATTTCGACTGACCTTAATTACGTTCTGCATATGTAAACAGGAGGGCTAAAAGAAGCGCGAAAATTTGGCCGTAAAAAACCGCCCGGCGGTTAACGCGCCGTGTGGCAAGCGTGAAATTGAGCTCGTTTAATTTGCGCGATCGGACTTTCTCGATCGATCTTTTTTCATTGCGTGGTCAGCAAGATCAGCGAGAGGATCGAAAATACTGTGTCCGTAACTCCGCGAATCGCAGCTCGTCGGGATACCTTAATCTTCGAGCGTCCTCGGAGGGTGGGTTTCGAGGAAGAACGAGCGCCGGGACAGCATCTACAATCTAAGTTTTCTTACGTAAATCCCTTCCTGTGCACCTTGTTTTCCCGTGCGTGACATCGCGACGTTAGATTTGCGAATCGCGCATTTCATCGTCCGTCATATCGGGAAAGGACTTACGATCGGAATTATCTCGACCGGAGGCATTGATCACGCCGCAAAATACAAGCGCAAGCGATGCGCATGAATATTGCATTATCCCAATTTGCATTGCACGCTCGCGGAGTTATTACGACGTAAATGAGAAGCCTTGCTTTGCAAAATCCATTATCGGGATCGGCCGCGTAAGTAGACAAAAATCGACTTGCGACGACGACGCGCGCGATCCATTCGTCATCGTCGCGACGGCGACCGCTTTTAACCGCATCGTTATTGATTGTCCTCGGCAGCTTAAGTTCTCTTAACGAGCCGGATAGTCGCGACGATTATTGATATTCCGCGCAAGTTCGAGAACTCCGGACGGGAGCCGTGTTACTACGTATAACGGAAGTTTCTATCGCCGTATTTTAATATCCGCCGCACTACGCGTGTCCTGATAAACTCTCTCGACACAGCGCGTGAAAATCTTTAAAGATGCAAAGAGTGAACTTTTCAGAGTTATTTAAAAATGTAAATTTTTACATTTTAACTTTACGGGTTGATTTTTATAATTTAACCTTCTTTAAAGATCGAAATCCTTACCTTTGAGGATCATTGAAGATTCAGGGATCGTTAATGCAAACAGAAGTGAAATAAAAGGATTGAAATAGAAGAGAAAGGATTGAAATAGAAAGAAAGAAATAAGAGAGAGAGAGAGAAAGAGAGAGAGGGAGAGGTAAAGTAAATATGAAATAGAAAGAAATAAAGGGGATAAAATATTCGAGAGGGAAATATTTTATATTAAAACAACTGCAAAGCGATTTTGCAATTCAAATATTTACCTGTGGAAATTTATGAATATCTATATTTTTATCTCCAAAGATCATTAAAGATTCGAAGATCGTTAAATGCGTACAGCAATAAAATGAAAAAAATACAATTTAAGAGACACTGCACAAGGCGACTGCGAGAGCGGTGATAATAATGAAAAACGTTGCCCCCGAAGATCTTTAGGGGACCCTCAAGTATCCGAAGATCGTTAACGCGTGCAGGAACAAGAGGAAAGAATAAAAATCGCGAATGTTATGCGCGCACAATGACAGCTTACGGCGATTTAACGCTAAGATCGAACGGCACGGGTGCGAAATCACACGTCGCTTTGGATTCATCGACGATTCAAGCGCGCTTCGGAAATATTCACGGCCGTGTGTGTAAGTCCTCGCCGCGTTCGCATATTTCAAGCATAACGCGAGGAAAGCGCGGAAAATAGCCGCGTCGATATGCGCGCAAGCTGTAACCACCCTCCCTCCCTTCACATCCCGATCGACTTCGCTTTCACTTCACCGACGGACGATGCGAGAGAGAAAAGCGCGACAAATCCACGATTCATTATCGTCACGCAGGACCCGCGAATCCCCTCGGACGAGCCGCACGGAGGAGGAAGGGGGTGATGCGAACGAACGAGTTACCCCTTTGCCGAGGCGTCGCACGACGTCGTACTGTTTGCTGATGTGCTCGTCAATCTCGGAGACCTTCTCGGGGGCCTTCCTCTCCGACATCGTCGCGACGGCGACGGCGGCCGGGGCTCGGGAGATCCGCCGAGGAGCCGGTGCCGGCGACACCAGAGAGAGAGGCTTACAGGCGGAAGTTGCGAGTCGTCGCGGCGCAATCACATCCCCGCTCATCTCCGCCAGGCGAGCCGCGGCGCGAGCAGCTTTCTTTCATGCTGCCTTTGACACGAATGCGCGGCTGTGTGTTTACGGAATTATCGGCAGTTGCCGAGGCGACCGTGTCCACATCGCCGGCCGCCAACGATGTCGCGTGATCACCGTTCGCCAAGCGGGTCGGCCGGTAGAAGCGCACCACCTGTGCGCGGAGCGCACAGGGACACGCACGTGCGTCGACAGCGTGTGTGCGTGTTTTTCCTATTTCTCTTTTATTCCAAGCAAGCGGCGCGCCGGTCGACCGGCTTGACGGATCGGGAATCAAGGGGAAAGGGATGAGTAGCTCGTTACGACTGCATTTCGCGATGAAAAGTCGCAGTTGTGTAAGTTCGCTGCCCGGAGTGCATTCTCGGAGTGATCGCGTACACGCGTGTGGGAAGTTACGAGTGATCGCGATGGGAAATCCCGAGAATGTTGTTCTTCGCAGTCGCAATCGCGCGCGTGAATTTTCGCTCGCAGTGCGACGAATCGGTCGAAGCGGTCGTTGTAAGAGAAACGTGTATGTTTTAATCGATGATATCGAGATAGATATGACAGATATCGTATGGATGACGGGCTTATGGCAGTTAATTATAACGAGATCGATACACACGTTTTGAATTGTTTGAAATCAATGTACGTGTTGAGCAATGTATGCATAACATAAGCTGTAATGGATATTATTTGCTTCGCTGTGACTTTTGTCCAATATTTACAGAAAGTTCCTATGTTTTCCAACGTTGCCGCGCGTAATTCAGCGCAATGAGATACGTGTACGTTTCCAACTGCTGATATCATAAAATAATGTACAAGAATACAACATCGGAAACGTATGCATATTTTCACCGTTCGCAACGTGCGTATACGTAATACTGCGTACAAATTCAAAATAGGGACCCCAGTCTGCAATAGGTGTAGTAAGCCTTTTAGTCTTTTGCTCTCTAAGCACTGCGTGGTAACACGATTTCCAACAAAAAGCGTCCCCGGCGTTATCAGCGTATCGCGACTCCTAATATTTCGGCGTTATTATGATTTTTGGCAACGCGATAAACATCTTTCGTCAGAAATTACATCACATGCCATTGCTTAAAATAGAATAAGATAGAATCTGC